TAATTAATATAAATTGCAAAAATAAATCAAAATTGTTGAAATTTTTTTATAACATTAAAAAAAAAAAAAGGCAAGAGTATATATAAAATTTTGAGAGTTTGTTTATATCTTATATCGGGTAAAAAAAATAAATGGGGAGTTAGTATTATTTCAGAAAATCCATGGGATGTAATTCTATTTAAGGCATTCTACATGAGATAAGATGGGTATGGGTCTGTAATTTACCAAAATATTAAACAAAAAACATCTCTCTCTCTTTGTTATGGGAGAGTGAAGCGCAAGTACAGACATAGCAGTTGAAGCAATGTGACCGAACAAGGTACGTATCACCGCTAGACGACGCACCTCTGTCTCACTATCTTTTACCTTCTTAGTTACGTTAAAACACCGTAGGATAAGCAACATGGGGACTCGGATCATCCAGTTTTTAAAAGAAAGAGAGCAGAAGATTCAACACAACACTGTATCGGCTGCAATGAATACATATGAGAAAGTTAACATTAATTCACGGGAAAGTCTCTCATACTGTACCGTTGAATATCATTTTTTTTTTACGATAAAATTATAATAGTTGAAGAAATTATAATTTTCTATACTAATAGCATTTTCCTTAATTCACACTCACTCTCTCTCACAAGCTTCTTTGACTATTTTCCTCGCAGTATTTATAATCCTCGTGATGGGCCAGCCCGCATCTAACTGTAGCTTCCAGGCTCTTATACAGCAACATTTTGAAATCTTCTTTGTTTTTTAGCTTCTTATTTTTATTTCTGAAATAATCTAAATAAAACCTAAATATTAAAATTTAAAGACATATTATTTTTTAGACGAATGTTGCATGAGTGAGCCTTATTGAAAAAGTTTATGAGGCTCAATCATCTTAGGGATATTATGCATTTAAGTTATAATTTTTTGAATTTTATAATATTGCGCAACAAAAAAATAGAAAGAAAAAAGAGTTGCTAGAAACGCCTTTTGGCTTCTAAAATCAAAACTTTTTTTTTTTTAACGGTCAAGACTAATCAAAACAGTTTATACATATTTTGATTAATTTTTTTTTTTGATTTAATCAAAAATATATTATTTATGTTAAAATTAATATATTGATAATAGATAAATCTGTCATGATAATTTAACATTAAAAAATTATCAAAATTCAAAATAATCGAATTTACAACTCATATTTAGTCTTATTTCAACTATCTTTTTAATTAAAATCAAATAAAGTTTGTGGTACGAAAAGAAGGAGTTGCTTATTCACTGCTAAGCTTTTAATTTTGATAATCATCACAACCTTTCAGATGTGACAATGCATGGTCAATCCGTCAGTTCATTACCCTATCTCTTTCTCTCTCTCTCCTCACGTACATATTCTGGCTGAATCTGGCAGCCACCTACGTAAGACAGAGATGAGTGTATGAATTACAGCTTGTAGACTACTGCGTGCATGGGCGTATCCTACCCAATCGAAGACATACGTACTGATAACACTTTTATTTTTCAAATCTTATGTTAGGTTTTACGCTCAAAGATTCGTTTGGTAAGTGTATTATAAGAGAATTAAATATTAAATTATATTATTTTTTATTTAATTAGACCTAATATTTTATTTGATAAGTAATTTTGAGTTTGTATTAATTTTAAAAATATAAATTAATCATATATTTTTTATACACTATATTTATATTATGAAAATATTTTAATATTATCAAAAAAAATAATGTTATAATCTACCTAAATATATTATTTTATAAGATTACTATTATAACTGCTATACGTAACAAAATCAACTTATCTTCTACGAAAATTATACTTTGTCAGACAGATGTTTCTCGCTCCATTGTTCTTCAATGGCTGCTATCAACAGGAGGTCTTGGCCAGGTAAGATGTCTTCTTCTTTAGCCTTTCGATTTATGTATGCATGTTTCCTTTTCGCTTTGTGATTTCTTGTTGGAGGCGGCTACGCGGTGGTGGTGATGAGGTGGGGGTGGTGGTTCAGTGATGTATTGATTTCTAAATTTTATTGGTTTTGTTGGGGTGGCTTGTAGCAGTTATGGTTTGGTTTAGAGGCAGTGAGGTTGGGTGTTCTCATCGTTATGGTTGAAAGAGGGATGGTTCACCAATTTTTATTGCTGGGCAATTATTTGTGGTGTGGCATTGGTGTGAATTGTGGAATACGGTGAAAAAACTCTTGAGAAAGCTTGGAACCAACTTCTTTTTTTTTTCCCCTTTGTTCAGACTTTTTGTTTTAGTTTTCTTTTTCCAACTTTTGTGGTTATTTGATGCTCATGTTGCAATTTAATTGACCAATTAATTTGAGTAATTTTTTTTTCATCTTTCTCAATTTATTATATAATTCTATAATATCGTTTCATTTCTTAAATTAATTGTGGACAAAATTTGACATTTTATTATATTCATTTAAACTTCAATAATTAATCAAAACTATTGATTTTCTTGCTTAAAAATATTATTTGATCCTCTATAAAAAATTTATTTACTCTTGAATAAGGCTATAAAGTCAATGATAATGATGTAAGGATATCGGCAAATATACTTCTACTAGTGGGATATAAAGGGTCAAATTGCTAGTAAGAGTTGTATGCTTAAATATTCACGAATCTTGAATCCCTATCATTTGGTGGTGAAGGTGTCGGTATGTATTCCTCTTGCAACTTTAAACACTAATCTGTTCCGTGTGCATAATCTCTCCCACTCATTTCTAATTTTAAAGGTAATCTTTCTTTCTCATTTTACTTTGTATTTTGTTATTTAATATAGTTGTTGTTCTATATCTTACTAAACATTTTTCTGAGTTTGTAATGATAGTCATTTTTATAACCTAGAGCCATTGGCACCATAGAAGAAGACAATTTGGCGCAGACAAATGATCCTACAAATTTTTGTACTTAACGACTCCTTTACAACTATATATTTCATAAATTTTGTGTTTTTTCTAATACTGTGAACAAGAATAGGAAAAAATAAATTTCTTGAAATATTAGTGGCAAAAACGAAATGGAGACCAATATATTTACACAAAATTTAGAAATTATAAATTGGGTACTAAAATAGAAGTTGGAAAAAAAATAACAAATACTCTTAATGATTGAAATAAATAACATGAAACAAACAATAACTAAGTAGAACTAGTGGGAAATACTACTATTATTTTTTATTGGTATTAAGGTCAAGAGTATTCGGACTAACTTATGTGTACATCTACTAATTTCTTCCCTGATTTAGTCAAAGGCTGACCATTTATGTCAAGATTAAAAAATTCATGAGGGATAAATCTCTTAAACCCAAAAAAATAATAAAGTTTTAAAATCAAAATTTCTGAATTTACCGCTCATATTTATCTTAACGGATTCCCCTTGGGGTTATTGTAATTGGGCTTCTTACTTGGTTGCGTAGCTGCAATCTCCATTGCTTCCAACAGCCAAATTTTTAGCTTTTCAACTTGTTCCTTCTTTACATAATAGAGTTTCGGCATATAAGTACAATTGATTCATTGAAAGGATCAATATAGATAAAGAAATTACAAGAGTATTTTTCAGATAAAATATACGCTATAGAGAGAATTTAAGGGGTTTTTTTTTTTGTGAAGAGAAATAAAAGAATTAGAATAATATTTTATAGATTTTTCAGATGACATTTTCATAAATAAGTTTAGAAATTAAAAAAAAATTGAGTTACCCTTAAAACTCTTAGAGCATCTCCGACTCACTGGTTAGATCCCAATTTTTAGCTATTTTGGCAAAGGGTGGCTCCAAAAATCTGTTACAATTTTTAGTATTCTTCCTCTCTTAAATTTAGGAGGCTCTTCTTGCTCGCCAAATCTAGAAAAGGAGAAGAAGCTCTTATTCTTTCTTGTGGCCAAATCTTCTCCAACAGTTGCCATGTATCATCTCCCTCTCCCACACCCCCACTCCTTTGTGTTGCTACCGAATACCTCCCTCCCTCCATCACCTGTGAATCCCCCCCCCAACCCCCATTCTGAAACCCCAACTCCGCCTCCCCTTCCCCATGCCGAAACCCACCTCCCCCTCTCCCCCTCCCCCAATTCCGATTGATATTAATTTTTTATTAAATTGCTATTAATTTTTAGTTGAATGGAGTGGTTAAATTGCTATTAATTTTTTGTTAAATTTATACAATGTATGGTTAACGTGTTATTCAACGTGACATTTTTGAATTATATTATTAAAAGTTAATTGAAGTAGTTAGTTAAAATTATAGTGGACTTATAAAAGTTACTAACTAAAATAAAAAAATACAATAAGAAAATTTAAAGATTGGTCACTCTTTGTGGACTTATTTTGTGATAAATTTATCAAGAAAATTTGTTTAATATTAAATTCATTTTTATCTCTATTATCCAAAATACCCTTAGTAGTTATGTATGATTAAAACAAATTTAAAAACATCACATTACCCAATTTTATTACATGTGTTAATTATTTAATATTTAATTAATTTATAGTTTAACACAATTTTTATTTCATTATTTGTACATGCATGATAGTACACATATGTTAAAAAAAATTTGTCTAATTATACATTTTGAGAAAATTGATGTAATTTTTAAGAAAATAATAGGTAAAAATTAATTTTAAATAATATAATCAAATAAATAAAGAAATAAAAATTTATTATTTATTATAATAGAATTAATTTTTTGAACGTTCGAATTTTAAATTTTATCGTACATTTGGGATATGACTAATTTATATAATAAAATAGTTAGATTATTTAATTTGAACTTTTCACGATTCAAATTATTTAAAAAAATTATTAATCTGCCGGTCCTAATGCAAAATTCTCCTCTCTCTTCCAATTTTTTAAATAGAACTTTAAGCGATAAACTATAATTCTCCCAAAATATTAAAGAATCTAATACTTGCCCTGCCTTAAGATTCAAAGCTTAAAGAGTCTCTTAACGAAAACTTGAACCTTTGAGTTGAGTGTGTGTGAGACAAGAGGATAAAGAAACAGTCATGACCGTCCTCACCTCTTCATCACCTCTACCCATCTCTCTCAATCGTTCCACAGCCACACCCACTCCACTCAACTGCAAATCACAACCCACCATCATTTCCGTTACTTACCAAAGTCAACGTCTTCGAAGTCATCGCCGTCCGATCACCGTTGCTTCTCAGCTCTGCGCCAATGAAACCATAAAAATGGATAAGTCAACGTTGAGTGTTGCAGAAGCGACGTCTGAGGATGAGCTCCGGGCTGCTGCGTGTCTACGTGTTCGAACTTTCTATGACTTCCGGGAAAGTTTCGGTATCGAAGTGAGTTGATTTTTGCTGTTAAGTTCTATCCTCCATTCATGTGCAATTCTATTCGTTGATGTGAATTAATTGTATTTGGAGCCTCTCAATCTTCAATTTTTTTTGGGCATGGTTAATTATTAATTTTGGGACTCTGTTTTTTCGTTTTTTGGGTGAGAACGCACTAATTAATTACTTTTGGGCATCTTCAATTATCAATTAGAACATGATCCAGCTATATGCAATTCACTTCATTGGTGTGAATTAATTATATTTGGAACCTCTCAATCTTCAAATTTTGTCAATTGTTTTAGGCATTTTCAATTATCAATATTGGGTCTCTGTTATATGCAATTCAGTTCAGTTTTGTAAATTAATTGTATTTGGAGCCTCTCAAACTTCAGATTTTGCCAATTTTGTTGTCATCTTCAATTAGCAATTTTGGTTCTCTTTATTTTTTTGGGTGAAAATAAAGTTTCACTAAGACCATATCCTATGGAAACCCAATCCTTTAACCAAGTTTGAGGGAAAAAAGGGGCAAAAAGCATGATTTGGTACAAACATCTCCGATGGAAAAATCCAAATTTAAATGAGGATAAATTCAAATTTAAAATAAGATAAAATATGACCATTAGATCTTTAGAGGAGTATGAAATCTCACCATTAAAGACTTGAGTCTAGCATTGGTGAAAGTTTTTAGGAAGCTTTTACCCAAATTTAAAATTTGGGTTTAAAAAAGGGGTAAGGATTGGAGATGCTTAACTACTATAACAGCAAGTGCTGATCTAAAACCCATTAAAGACGCTACGAATTGTATAACGAACCAATCTGGCATAAGATCAATGAGCATAACTCCTAAATCTAGATTGCGTTCTTGATTTGCTAAGAAGTCATTAGATGCTGCTGCTGATTTGGTTCCCTGGATATTAGATCATCAGATCAGTGGCTGCTTTGGCATTCATTTCAAAAAGTAGATTTTTTTCAGTTCAGAGTGGCTAGCATCCAAAGATCCCTAAATGCCCATACATCTGCAATTACACCATGGTCCATCGATTTTCCTTGAAAACCCGACAACCCATCTGCCCAGATGATTCCTTACGATACCTCAGCCCCTGCTAGCCCTGGGTCTTCCAGAGCAGCGGCCCATGTATTGGGCAAAGGGGAACCATCCTACTAGGATTGATTTTTATTTTACCTTGGAACTTGGGTAATTCACTATGGGAATTCACTATGTGGTATACAGTTGCTCAAAGTGAGCTAGGATCATCTCTTATATCAGTCCTCCCTCATAGCAACACTCTCATGTTGTCTTTTGGGCCATATATTCTATTTCATTTTCTTCTGGGACAGGTGGATATATGAAAAATATATGCCTACCTGTCTTCCTCCAATCCAGAATTCATCCTCCATTTGAAGGAGGATGATTGTGCAATGGTTAGTCTGGCCAGCATCTGTTTCTTTCCCATGCAAATGTTGCCGAACTCAGTTTTGTTTCCCTCCTTGATGGCTTTGGCAAACTCTCAAATACATTTTGAGGGTGCTATATGGGACATTGGGTGTTCTTGAAACCTGTTAAAACCCATGCAGAAGCCCAATAAGTTTAAATGTAGATGACTAAACTTGACGAAAGCTGACAAAACTTGAACTTGTGTTGGGCACGACCTATAAGTACGGATACGGATACGAATACGATACAGATACGGCGATACGACAAAACGTAAAAAAAAAAAAAAATACAGGTATGGTTAGGATACGCCTACAAAATATATTTTTTTTAAATTTTATTATTATATTTAATGTAACAATTATGATTTATAAAACAAATTACATATCTATCAAAGATATATAATAATAACTAGTCATTCTATCATTCAGAAATCATACATTCAAAAAAAAAATTTTGGCAAATAAGGGCCCAAACATATTTGCTATGGTGCCCCTATTCTTTTTAAAAAATTCAAGTAATATCCCGCTATATCCCCGACGTATCCCTTGCATATCCCAACGTATCTTGAAGTATTTGAAATTCAAATTTATTTTTTTTAATTCTAGGATACTTCTTAGCCGTATCGAATACGTATTCAGCCGTTTCGGATGCGTATCCGCATCCAGATTTGACCCTTTTGAAGTATTCGTGCTTCATTGGGGCACGACAGACTTAGACATAACTCATGACATTGTTTAAATGAGGTTGCTGCACTCAGATTTGGACTTGCAATGTTGCTGTCCTAAGCCTTAACTGTTTACTTTTACATCATCCAATGTGCCCCCTTTCAGTGCATTAATAAATGTATTTGTGTGGGGTATTATAAAAAGCTAACTTTACGTAATATTTGACTTGATATTGTCAGAGTATTTGGAATATTTGGGCATCCATCAAACTTTACAATTGACCTTTTCCTCGCATTACCGTTCTTACTTTGTCTCATGTTTGATTGATTAGCCACTTCGATTTGAACAATCTTGACTATGAGTAGTATGATAATGACACATGAATACAAGTTTATGATCTTCTTACATTTACAGATGCACCCTTGGCTTCGTTAAATCTAATGATATAATACTCCTTGTCAAGTTTTGTTAGGATCATAAAAGGTACTTGGCCGAGCGTGAGTTTGAAGCACTAAAGGAACGTGTTGCAGGGATGAGAGTGGGCTTTAGGAGAGTTTGTTGCATCAATGCTACATTGCCATTGTCACAAATTTCGAGCATTTCTGATGATTTATGCACTACATGCAAGGTATGTTTTTTAATGGCTGATTGGGTTAGCACTTTCAGTTCCCTGAGTGTATCTATTGGAATTTTGTGGACTTTGTGCACCACCGATTAGTGGCTTAGTGCCAAGATGATGCCATGCCTAACGGAGACTGAATCTGAGTCCAGTTGAAGTAAAACTAGTTTAAAAAAGTCCCTGAAGAAGATATTGACTGATTTGACTTGGATATTCTGAGGTTGATTGTGAAGCATATATTAAATAAAAGCTAGTATTATATGGTTTGGGTTAAATTCCCTTCTTGATTATGGACCATATTGGTCCATCTTGTTGCTTGTGATTTGCTGCAGTATCAAATCTGAAGTGTGGTTGTAGTCAAGGAATAATGTGGAGAAAATTATGAACAAACCTGGGGACGGAGATAGCAACAAATTCTGGAAGGAGAATTGCATGATATTGTGATGAACTATTCGAAATGAATACATATATGAAATAATATGGGCATATCTCACCAGGAAAAAAAAGAGGGAATAATTGGGAATTATTTTTCACATTTGAATATTTGTGTAGAGGTTTTTGCAAAGAATTTGAAAGAATGCAAGCAATACATAACTTCGATGAAAACAATGTATTTCGCAAAATTTCGTAAGTTGCGCAGGATACTCATTATGAGTTTATCAACACATAGCTTTTGGATTTGGCTACAATGGCCTCATACAGACTAATCTAGCTATCTGCAAAATGCACAATCCTGAACTGTGAACATGTTAGTTCTTTTGTTGGCTGTCATAAGCATCCTGTAACCTATCATGTGACATGAATGTGTAAAACACATTCCAGGGCTTCTTAGTGTCGAAGTTGCCTTCACCACTACCATCCTTCTGTTCTATTCAGAAATTGATTTACAAATGGAATTATAGAAATCATTCCATTAAAATGATATGGCTGTGGCATTGTGATGTATATAGACATTTGTGGTCTGTTATAAACTGATAGGAAACTAGTGCACACAGTCATAGTATGTGTGAATTTGTATTAAGAAGTACTTAACTTCATTTTCGTTGTTCTTTTAGTATTTTATGGCTGTTAACTAGCGGAGACCAATATTAACTTTAAATGAAATAGTAAAGAAAGATATGATACTCTTATGGTTTAACCAATGATCAAAATTTCGTTTCGGTGTATTATTTCGGTCATCTAGGAAACGGAAACATTTTGATGTGTTTCGGAAACGTTTCAACCTGTTTCGAAAATAGAATGAATAAAATAAAAAATTTAAAGAATTATTTTTTCAAAACATTGGTTGAAATATATCAAAATGTCTTAAAATACTTTGAAATATTCCGAAATAATTATGCAAATACATTAAAATATAACAACATTTTGAAACATTATGGAATATCTCGAAGTATTAGAATTTCGATTCTATCATTGATTCGTTTCGGTTTCTTTGGAAATGGAAACGTTTCGGGCAGATCGACTATTTCGAAACGATTTTTTGATCCTTGGGTTTAACAGAAAATATTGCCCTTAATAGAGTTCAATGGCGAAACAGGATTCATATAGCCGGGTCCAAAAATGTTGGGAAAGAGCTGAGTTGAGTTTTAGTATTTATGAAAGAAAACATCTTGGACTTCTCGATACTTTGCATGGGATCATTGTATGCATATGTTAATGTAATTGAATGTCATGTTTTGTTTGAAAAGCCAAATTTGCAAGACTTCACACCTAAAGTATTCCAGTTTTTCTGAGCTGCTGCCTGAAAGTGATCGGATAATATTTCATGGAGCATCTAATGCCATGCTTATACTTCTAGTTTTTGGTTTCCTTCACTGGACGAGCCGTAGAACAGTCGATGCTCAATTATCTTGATGAATTATTCTACCTCAAGTTTCAAGTTTGAAATTTATACATTTTCTGTGAACCAACAAACCAACCTCCATCTCTAGTATTGCCCTCAGTTTCTGATCTGGTTACCATGCACGGAATATATCCCAGTAGCATTCTGATGTGTAGATTGGCATTCGGTTATGCGTGCATTCATAGAAGCATGTGTTTGTAATTTATCCATCAATCTATGGTGCAATAATAGGATTTTATTTCCCTGTTGTATCTGTTGCAGTTTTCAGATGATGGAGAAGACCACGTAGTCATTGGGACCCTGGATCTTAATCAGTGTCTTAGGCTTCCAGATGAAATAACAGGCATGAAGCCAAAGGTATTGATGGACAACTTTTATTGATTTTGTATAGGCTGACTTTCTTATGGGTAACATTGAAAAGGTAAAAAGTAAATGTAAAATTTGTAGTAAATTGACAAGAATGTTACAAGGTCCATCTTAAACTCAAGTGCAGATAATGGCTTTTCGTTTTTCTTCTCAAATACGCGCTTGTGCCTTGGCTAATGATCTGATCTGTTTTGATGTTCCCAATGTTATGTGCTCTGAATTTTGGGGCACGGAAGCATGGTTTCAAAATGTTGTTCTTGATTCCAGTTGAGTGGATGGTGATGCAATATGGGAGACTTCCCACTTCCCCCACCCACCAAAAAAAAAAAAATCCATACCCTCCAACCCAGTGGACAGGTTTAACCATTCCCAATCCATGGACCCCCAGCTCAAACAAAGGCAAATTTAGTCCAAGGTTCTACCACCAAGAAATTTTATAGAAAAAAGGTTATTTGACAACTTCTGTATTGTCTTTTTCTGTTAATTTCTTGATAACTTAAGCATGGTCCATAATGACTCCATCCCTCCCTTAGAGACACTGCTTCTGGTCTTATTCAACAACTTGCTGGTTAGTAGAGCAATTTTTTGGGTACTCACACCTTCGGGAAATTCACTTTTTATACTCCAGGAGTTGAAATCAGATGTCAGTAGAGAAACGTAGGTTGCCTGGAGTGTAACTTGAAGCGTCACCTAGTTATTTTTGTTCATGCACATCAAAATCTACCCAAATGCATTTATACATTCATGCATGTTGTGTTATATGATCTTTTAAAATCCTAATTATATAATAATCTGGTTGATCTAACACACACTCTGAGTCTCTGACTGCTCTTACACTCTGGTTACTTGGCATGATACTTTTTTTGCATACCAGGAATTTTAATCTCCTGTTAAAATGTGCTTTCAGATCTTCTCGCTATGCTCAAGAAACGAGAACCAAGCTTCCAATAGCTTAATTTGCTTGAAATAAAAGATTGATGAGAAAATAAGTGAACATTTGTACTTATACTACAAATGTTTGTTGTTTCTGGTCAGATTTGCTTCTTCTTCTCAAAAAATTATAACTGGGTTACCTCGATCTGTTAATTGTTCTTCTTAGTGTGCTGTATCATTTTCGGGTTTATATCTATTTGTAGTTAATACTAACCCGCTAATCTTGTATTGGGTTCGAGTCAGATTAACAAGCTTTTTCGAAAATTGCCACTCTTCAGGAAAATGATGTTTTATTGTGATGTTTGCTGTTATTTCCTGACTAGCTTGAATGACGGGCCTAATGCTGTGTTACTATTCTTGGCAAGAAAAAACTAAAATATACTAATATACTCTACAAAGCCATGGTATTATATCTAACATTCTATATTATTCTTTGGAGTTCCAACTTTCTTTTTGCTTGGTAACACAAAATTACAGCAGATACATGATGAAGGACTTGGTGCTGATATGCCCAAAGAGAAATAATAATATATAACAGATGAACTAAATGCATGAGGTGTGGGTTTCATAGGCAATTTCATGGTAATTTGGTAGTACTTGCTTATTTCTCAAGGTAAATGCTATGTGAACCTTACTTTCTGTGAATTCATATATTTCTGAAGGATTATGTGACCAGATAAAACCATTATCTTTGGACTTTTTTCTCGACAGGGCATTGGAGCTGATTTTGCAAGGGCATACCTAAGCAATGTATGTGTTGCGAAGGAACTGCACAGGAATGGCTTGGGTCATGCGCTCATTGCAAAGTCTAAGATGGTAGCTGAAGATTGGGGTAACAACTTCTGAGAACTTGTCCACTTACATTTTCCTCTCCTCCACTGCTTGATGTTGTGTTGTTTGTGAGAGTTGTTGACTTTGATGCTTTTAGTTTTCTTGTATACTTTTCAGCACTCTCTCAAGAAGCAAGTGCATTATCATATCCTCCATGTTATCAGCACTGGCCTTGGTCTGATTTGAGCAACTTATACATTTTGTCTTTGAAATTCTTTCAGGAGTAAGCGACTTGTATGTCCACGTTGCTGTTGATAATGAACCAGCGAAGAATTTGTACATAAAAGTGGTTTGTTTTTTGAGAATGATGAACCTGCATGGCAGGCCAGGTTTCTAGATAGGCCTCGAAGGATTCTTTTGTGGACTGGTCTTCCTACAACCTACGAGTTGTAATGTTGTATTACTATTCATGTACAATTAAATTACTAATTTGTACCCATTCAGTTCCATAATGTGTATTTTGTTTCCACCAAAAACAAACTATTCACATGGATTGTATGCAGATGCATTTGTAAAGGTCAAGAATCTTTATTCTTTCAAGTGGCAGAAATGGGTCAAAACAATGTAACATTTGAATCTCTGGAATGCTATTTTGTGAACAAAAAGATGTTGCTGTGTTTTCTCTCTCATAACTGTCAGTTTTCATAGTCTCAAAGTCCTTCTCAATCAGGTAGTGATTGAGAAATTTGGTGGTGAATTTTTTTTGTTGGTAAAATTTGTGGTGATTGTTGCAGAAGCTGCCGTGCGTGCGAAGTTTTTGGTTGTTGCAGAGTCTATCTTCCATGGCTTGACCACTGCCTATTATGGGTCAGATCCTACTATCAAAATGGTGGCAAGCTCCGGTCCTAATTACTAAGAACTCGTAAGTAGAACTTATTCTTGAAAATTGGCTCATAAAAAGCGAGTCTAAGAATTCATAAAATACAGTTATACTTGGTCGGTATAGAATCATAATGCTTAATCTCAATTTGTTGTGAAGTAATTTAAGAATTGATGTAATCATATCACATGAAGGAATTTATGGAGACAAATTGACCCAGGCACATAGATGTATCTTTCAAGAGATTAGGTTTTTTTGGGGGATAAATATGTACACACTTATTTTAATTCAAGGAACTAAATTATAATTTTAGAAGCGAACTAATTTTTTATAAGTGTTTTTTCAACTTTCATTGCCGCCTTAGTCTTATTTCGAGATCAAGAAAGATCTAATCGGTAAGATTTGTAAAATTTATAAATTTACACTCTGAATCTGAATCTGAATCTCGCGAGGGTATATTTTGACAATGCAAAATATGAAAAAAGAAGAAGAAGAATAAGAAGTTAGAACCAATAATAAAAGTAAA